GAGTTGACTCCTCCCACACTAAGAAAACAGGAGGGGAGGGGTCAGCTGCAGGAGCTCATCCTGTGCAGCGGAGGGAGAGACACGAAGTAAACAAACAAGCAGGAAAATGAAACTTATCGGCCCCTTTTTTTTACCGACCTCAAAAAAAGTTATCGTGCGATTAATTGATTTATTGACTATCGCGACAGGCCTAGTTGTATAGATATGGTAACGCACTAAACTCCCCTCCTTCATCTCTGCACAGATTCTCATTGTCTGACCTATCTTTCGTTAGTGATGTTTTTGTATTCTGGTTTGTCTGGCCTACTTTCTGCCCTGCTAGACAGTTTAGATATAAAAGTAGCAAACAGATTAAACCGCTTAATCCTTAAGACTTTTAGATTCTTGCCAGGATGTCTTTAACTGTACTTTAGAGTCCAGCATAAATCTGTTTTTGTTGCTCATCTCAACATTTTTATTGGATTATTGGAAGAGGACAACTGTGTAATCGACACTATTGGGATTTGTTTTTGAAATTGAGACACAATTTTGACCCATTATCTCTTAAAGGTCGCTACAAATCTTTAATTGCACTCTGGAATATTTCACAAAAATGTATACTTAGCAGGGCTCTTATTTCTTGGCATCATAAGCCTGAGAGCAGACTGGATTTTGGTGCTGACGTGTTTGTAGCCATAATGGCATCAGTAGAACGTGTCGCTCGGCTCATATTTGGCTTTTACAGGCTGCATGCACCTTTTTGTGTGTCTCTGTTCCATTGGTGCTTGGCAAATGTCAGTAAAAAGCATTGCTTTAGTTGCAAAGAGTACAAAGGGTCTTCGTTAAGCAGAACGTTAGATAAGCTAACATGGCTTAAGGGCTGAAACGTAACAGCAGTTAGCACTGTTATCCAAGCCAGGACAGCCTTTTGATAAGAGCCACACATTAGACCAGTTTGTCCCAGAGTGTTTGGATTTCCTGTCACAAATAAATAGTCTCTTTGTTTAATTGTTAGCATTCCGACCTAGTACAATTTGCGAACTTTAAAAATAATTTGCCAGGTTTTTATTATAAGCATGTTTGTTTGTTGCAGCATTTAGCTCAAAGTGTAGTACGCTGTCCCTGTTTACAGCCTGACAAAGCTGCTAGAACAAGCACTGTAATTTCTCTATTTTCTAGTTGCATGTTTTGCATGTCCTTAAGAGATGAAAGTATGATGTAGAAAACTGGTTCAGCCTTGTATCATAACCCCCAGCAGCTGGCTTGAATTATTATACCCACCTGTCAGACAGAGAATGCCCTGTGTGTGTGTGTGTGTGTGTGTGTGTGTGTGTGTGTGTGTGTGTGTGTGTGTG